GAAAAACTTACGAGATTATACTACATCGATTAAAAAACCAAGCGGCCGGCAAACCGAGCCGACCTGAGGAGAAATCCGTAGACACCTAAAAAACCCGATGAAGGACCTAGTGGAACCACAAGACCCACTGAACAAAGACCAACGGCAGGTAAACCTAGTCGGACTACAGAGAAGCCTGAAAACCGAAGAGACCTGAGCGAGACGACAAGCCGAAACGAGGAGATCAATCTCCAGATTCTCTCGATGAAGACGTTCATCCTGATCGAGTGACGATACCTGACATAATATCAAAAATTCCCTTGAAGGAACAATGCATTTGCGAGCTGTGTACTTGCGGGTAAGTCATCATTTATGATCGATTATTTCTTTTCTATATATATGTGTAGAGAAAATCAGTACAATTATCAAATTTATGTCATATAATTGTTATTAAGTAAAAATTAAGACTTTTCCGCTCCAAATTATTTCCGCGTCATAATTTTAATGTTGCAAAATTGCGGAAATATTGGGCTATAATTAACAACTGTAGTTCAAGCACAACTATAATTTGATTTGATTTATCTGCACGTTCGCTGCAGAGATGTACATGGTTGACCTACTTCTAAACATCATTAACGAGATCAGAATACAAAACTTACCGGAGTCGAGAAGCAAATTGACGAGAGAAGCGGGAGATTGTCTTCAAGGTCATCTTTCCTAGTCTATTAAACTCATAGCAATGATCCATCCGAAGCCGAGCTGAGTTCGTTATGCACATCTATTGTGCAGCTTTAACGTCGTCCTAAAACAAGATAAATTACTTATTATTTTTTTAATACATTGCAATTTTGATATCAAAAGATATTATTCCTATTATTATTAATATATATATATATATATATATATATATATATATATATATATATATATATATATCATTATTAAATATGTGTATATATTATTATTAAATATGTAATGTTATTAATAGCTATTAATATTATTGAATAGAATTAATTTGCTCTTAAATTAGCACAAATAATAGTTCTTTTCGAGTTGGTTTACAAATTCAATAAATTTGAGGCATGTTGAACGACTCTCTGAAACAATGACAGAATTTTTCACGCCAATTGTTTCCAGGACGTTGAGAAATAGTACCTGCGTATGTCTTGCGTTGCTCAATTGCGAAATGGACCGCGTGCGTATGTCAGATATTTATTTTCGTAAAAGCGTCATTCCACTTATGTTTCTCAACTTCCATCGTGTCTATTTTTGTCTCCTCTGATCCACGTCTGTATGGTCGAAGACCTCGGACAGTTGTTTTCATCGAATTTCAACGAAAGTCAAACACGATAAACCTAATTTTGCTTGTGATTTTCACTTGTCACGAAATAATCGAAATACGTCAATGATTATCAATGCAGTATCAATGCAGTATCAAAAAAAAAATTCAAAAATTTGAAACAGAGGAAGAATAATAAGTATTTCAAACTCTGTCAATATAATTGACAAGTCAGTGAGTGTACTTTCACGCAGACACGCGGCAAAAGTATCGCGGAGGGAAAACTAATCAATTCTGTTCATTACGTGATATATTTATAGACTAGAGAAATTCATCAAGGTGTCCGGACTTGTCATCAATATATTTCAATGTCCGCACTATTCATCACGGAATATCAAGTTGGTATTACGTCGATACGCTGTTCTATGCAATTGTGAAACGAGCGACGCCACTTTTGCGTTTTCGCGCGGCAACCCAACGACACGGCATTTATAAAGTCATTTTATCAGACTTGGAACAGTCTTGCGAACGCAAAGTCATTAGATCTATGCGGATTTAAGTTGCAAAAATCGTTCGCGAGAAGTTCCTCTCGTCGCTGACGTCATAATCCACGATTACCGACACAAAAGTTGTTCGCGCAAAAGTCGTTCATCCCTTATGTTGGAAAGATAATTTCCAGCTGCGCAACGACGGAGCGTAGAAGCATGCCTCGCGAATCTTCCGAGGTGAGAAACTTGTAACCGGCGTCTAATGAGAGTTTACGTTTCTCATTACAGTTTCGACGTGGAAAATGGCGCCTCGACGTTGGACGGCGGCGCCGGCGGTGGAGGCGGCGCCTCGCCAAGCGCGGGGCTCGTTCTCCAGACGCTGCCCCAGAGGAGGGAAAGCTTCCTGTATCGGAGCGACAGCGACTTCGAGATGTCACCGAAATCGATGTCTCGAAACAGCTCCATCGCCAGCGAGAGGTGAGTAATCCCATTTCCCGTTGGATCTATCTCTATTCCGCGCGACACCGGATTATAAATCGATTATCGGTAAATCGGGGGTTACGTGAGCAACGCAGATAGTACATATCGGCGAAGATTGCTTCGATTTCGCTCAGGCGAGAAATCCGTAATACCTTTTTTAACCGTGTCGCGTGTAGGAAAAATTTATTAACTTCGCGGAGAGGATATCAAGTCTGGACGTCAAAAGTCACGCGATTTATGATAGCGCATGTCGGTTATTTATTTATTGTGTAATACGTGTGATCTTAATGACATTCATCATACCGCACTTCGATGGGTGCTTATAAATGGGCGCATTAATCAAATAACATCATGATTTACTTGCCTTCTATCTTCGATCTCTTAAAGTTTCATTCATGAAATATTTCACGCTCGAAGTATTCTGCTGTAAGTAACGGCAAGCAATTTTGTGAAAAATATTTTACTATCGAGTTTCTTAATGGTTTTTGAAATCACGAACAAGTTTACGAGAAAGTTTATAAGTTTGTTAATTCAAAATCTATTTCGTTGGAAATACAAAATTATAAACGTCGGAGCAACGTTTGAAAATTGAGCAAATTAATGTTGTACAAAGAACCATTTCACTGTATTTATTCATTTAAATTTTATATCAAAATGTTGATTTACAACAACACCAATTATTCGCTTCAATTTCAATATAATATTGTAACATACACATATTTTATCAAATTTATATGCATGTTTACGGCACTTTTTTTACAATTTTAAAATTGCGCGCCTGAAAATTTTATTACACATTTCATAAATGAATCATAACGTTTTTATGCCTCCAATATTTATTTATGTCTGGATCTACGGCGAAAAGACACGCTGGGGGAAGAGAGAGGGGAGGAGGGAGATTGATTCTAATCTACAATATTATTGGGAACATTTTTGCGACAACGAAGAGAGCGTGTATCGATAATGCAGATGCCTCGAACGGATGCTCGGAGAATTGCTGAAGCTGGTAAAATTGAAGCCGGCAGAAACTGCTGGGAGTCGGTAACATGAAAGATCTTGTTGGTGGCGCCGACAATGTTAGCAACATTTACCGCGATGAGATACCACGTTATCTATCCAGATACCTCGTGACTCAGATGGTTAACACAACTACATTTTATATATAGAAATTAAAAATAAATTACAATAAAAATTAAATTTATATATAAATATATAAATTACAATTAAAATATATAAATTATTGCGAAATGCAATTTTCATAAATCGGATTTGATTTTATATTTTGCGACTGAAGCTAACGATCGATTGACGTTATTATAGTGTATGAGTACACAGCTCCTTCGTTGCCCGCAAAATTGCAATTTATGCGATTCTACCGTGTTTCGCCGTCATTTGATCCTATAACTGTACGCAAACAGTCTATGATCTTGGTGCTTTCATGTATCATGACAAATGTCGTGGCCTCTTGGTGGCGATGATGCTTATCATTGATTTTCTCATATCATTATATCACTTGCATATACATTCGACTGTCCGCGGCGATATGATGCTTTTATACTGTAGCGTTACATTTATAATTATAATAATAATAATATAATTGACGACGATGATTATATCCATTTCTTCAACGCGAAAAGACTGATTTACTATTTTGATAAATTTGCTAAATTTCGATTTATTTTATACAACTATGATATTTGGAATTTCACGACGATGTCGCATACTAACGTAAAGTACAGTTTGGAAGTATCATCTATCCGCTATCGTCTATGTAAGTGTTTTTATCGTCGCTAGTGGGTGTTGGGGTGTGACGATATGATGTATGTGATCCTTGGGTTGCAGGTTCAAAGAGACAGAGCTTCCTGTTGAGCGAGCGTATGTACTCGATCCTATTATCTAACTCATTTCGTATTATTTTACACTTGAATTCTACACTAACAAGTCATTCAACACCCTAGGATATAATCAATCGCTGTAAAATGACGTCCTATTAGTTCACTAATACCCACATGGGCGATCAGTATATTTTCTTGAGTAATTTTACGTGCATGCTGCAATTTGATTTGTGTGGAGTCCTTATCATTATTGTCACACTCACGTTTTAAAATTTTCACAGTTGTGGTTTACCTGTCACTAAATTTACAAATCTCTGATGTGGTAGAAGCATGATTACGATATGCTGTCATTAAAATGCATATATGGTATATAATATCTATAAAACATTTCAAAAATTTATTTTCAAAATATAATTAATTAGAATAACGATATATGAATGAAAATAATGAGTTTTCTCGATTTACGAAATTTTTGATTGATTGATCAATGATTAATGGAAATAATAGAACTACGGCAATGTAATCTACGCTTGTCACCATCACGATTATTTATTGGATATATTTTTCTTATTGCTTTCAAATTTAACACTCTTTTTTATATTTTTCTCATTCTTTTTCTATTGTCTGACAGCTACGTGATCGGGCAAGCTTCGTTGCGAGATTGCAAGAATCTCGTGTACATGCAGCAAATACACACAGCTTTAACATAAGATCACGCAAATATTGCGCTTACGCAACAGCGACATTGCTTATAATACGTAATTTAGTCATATTGCTGATTAGAGCGTAGATTTAGATGACTGAAATGGACAAAGTCCACGTTTTGAATCTAGCGTATCGATTTTAGACCACAAAGGCATTATTAAACTAGTTTATTTATCGTGTAATAATACATCCGTGCTGCTTATACCGCCGATATTTTCGTTTAAAATTCAAAGTTGGATTTCTTATCATGCTTGGCGAATTTTTTATTCTGTTTGATAAACCGCGCAGTGTACGTGACGATACTGAAACGTTTTATGAGCGTCTGATTACAGTAACCTTCCGTGTTTTTGCTAGTTAAGCGTAAATATATATTACTAACCGCATGCTGAATATAGTTGAATATTGTCGAATAAATATGAATTCTTATTTTCAGGATATTTACCGATCAGTACAGGTAAGTCGCATCATCATGTAATCTAGCTGTCTTCACTGGCGACATCGTTGCAAGCTGTATGATTGGACGAATGTGTGTCTAGTGTATTGTCGATGTTTAACTTACCATGTGAAGTTTGTGATAGAGATTCATCTTACAAAAAAAGATTTTAACACATATTTTTATATTTGTAACGTAGAAGATTCGAAGGAATGATTGCGAGCTTCTCACACGAGTAATAATAATAATAATTTGCTAGTAAATTGCAAAAATGCAAATTGAGTGGGAAAAACATATATTTTGCAGCTAGTTAATACTAACAAATTATCTATTGACGTAGGAAGCCACGTATGTAGCTACGAATTGATACTTTATGCATTTTGTTTCTTTACGCGATTACACCATGCTATATATATGTGTGTATATATATATATATATTATATATATATTATATATATATATATATATATATATATATATATATATATATATATATATATATATATATA